TAAATATACATGTTCTGCACACCTAGGTAAATACATATGTTTATATACAAATATATTCATTTCTCTCAGTAATTCTTCTCAGATCATTAAWCTTTTATTTTTCCTTCAAAAATATTTGTTTTATCTACCTGTCTAATGAATTCACGTGGGGTTATTTATATTTTCCCCTTATTACCCTTTAATATTTGWAGGAGTCCCAGTGGAATCTTCTCTTGCATTCTTCCTACTGGCAATTTGTCTCCCTTTCTCCTTGATCGAGAAATATGTGACCAGATAATGTATAAATATCTCTATACGTAGACATGTACACACACACATCACACGTACGGATACACATCCTGCGATCACCTTTCAATGCTGGTGTTAGGGTTTGGATSTGGATGTCCCCTGAAGGCTCACGTGTTGAAGATGAGGTCCCCAGTGCCGCAATACTCAGTGGTGGGGCTTTGGGAAGTGATTGGATCGTGAGGGTTCTGACCTCATCTCCCTAAGAAGTTGGAGGGGAGACCAGCAGACTGGCTGGTTTGCCCTGAGGCTGGCTGCCTGCTGGCTGCAGGAACTTGGGTCAGTGGTTTCATTCCATGCCTTGGGCTTCTCTTCCGTAAAACGGGGGTCATAATCGCAGCTCAGGGGTCTGTTGTGAAGATCAGAACAGTGCCTGGGACACAGGMAGCTCTAAATGAGTGCAGTCATTGCTACTCTTGATGTGAGTTAATAATAAGGCCAGGTTTTAGAAGAAGAGCCACACAATGGGAGGGAAATCTGGCAATGTGTTAATTAGTACAGGTTGAGCTCCCCTCATCTGAAACTGTGAAATCTTTAGTGCTGCAAAATCCAAAACATGTGGAGTATCAATACGATGCCACAAGGGGAAAGTTCTGTCCCTTACTTTGTGTGACGTGTTGCAGTCAAAATGCAAGAGAGTAGAGGAAGGAGAATAGGAGGGGAGGGGGGGAGGAAAGAAGGRSGCAGTACTGAAATGCAGTAAATCAAATTCCATTCATGATGTTTTTTGTCAGAATGAACCCAACTCCTAGGTATAACTGCAAAGCACTAAAAAAAGAAAAAAAATCATGGAATTATTTTTTAAAAATGAAAAAAAATGCAGGAATTTCTAGGGGAAAGGATGATGGCCAGCATCTCTTTGTGGGGTTCTTTCTGCCCAGGGGRAATCCAAGCCACCCTAAAACTTACAATCTCAGATAATTAGCGAATAACAAAGCACAAATACTCAGAAATATGTTTACAGGAAGTGAAGCCCCTGATAGATCTAGTCCACATGGGCTCTGGAACTAGACAAAGGGAAAATGGCTCCCGTGGTTTATTTAAGGGGTTACATGAAAGGCAGGGGTAAGGTTTCAAGGGCGGAGTCTTGCTTCATGATGTCTTGCAGTCAGCAGGTTGACTGACATCTCGGCACACCCATCTCAGGTGCTGTGTGGGCCAAAGCAGAGTGGGAAAGAGATTCACATTGTCCCTGGGCAATTGACCAGACGAAATGTCCGCTGGTTATTCCCACACACCAGGTATCTCTATGCACGAGGCATCCAAGAATGGTGACCCACATGCAACCCATGAACAGCTGGTGACACAGGCATGCTCAAATKGTTATACAAAATTATCTTCAGGCCATGTCTTTAAGGTGTATCGGAAACATAAATGAATTTCATGTTTAGAAAGATATCTCATTATGTATATGCCAGTACTCCAAAGTCTGAAAAAATCAGAAATCCAGAACACTTTTTGTCCCAAGCATTGCTGGTAAGGTAAAATGAACCTGTATACAGAAAGGTAAACGAATAGCTGACACATGTAATTATTCACTCCTGAGAAAAGTTAAAAGTTGTGCAAGAGAGGAAAAGTCATCCCAGTGTATATGGGCAGCCGTATGTAGTTCAGTCAGTCATGTAACAGGGAAGATGGATCTGATGATCAGAAATGGACTCRCTCTTGGAGGCATGGGCATGTGCTGGGGATGGGAGTGAGAGAGGCGCCGGTCTCAACCCAAGAACCTGAGAGATGAGCATGTCACTGAAAGACGAGGAGGTGTGGGGACATTAGCCCCCTGGGGTCCACTCTCAGAGGGAGGATCAAACTGGCTTCAGGGACAGCAAGTCCAGGATCTGCTCCTTCCTGCACCTGCTCTCCAGATGAACAGCTTCTGCAACCTCATAGATTCAGTATTATCCACTTTAGTCCTCCACTGTTAGGGCTATGGACTTATTCATTCTGCATAACTCCTCTTCCTATGTAAGTGCATGCTTTTACCTTTTAACCTGACTCTCCCCGTTTTCTGCCCTTCACACTCCTGTTCTACTGTTTCTATATATTTCACTTCTCCTCCCCCTTTTTTTCTCTATATAAGTGAGACTGGACCTTAGTTCTTTGGTGACCATGAACTGCTGGTACCGCCGGTTATTGGTGACGAGTCCTGCTTCCTCACATGATGAAGTATAACATTGGAGAAGCACCCGGAGGCAAGCATATAAATCTGGGTTTATTTGAAAAAGGGGTAACATAGACTTCTCCCAGGAGGGAGGAGGGGCCATAGCTGGTGTCCTGGTGTCCCCAGAAGCCAGGGTGTTCTGTGTTTCTATGGGTCTTAGGCTTCCTTTGTTCTCCTGCCCTCTTCCTCTTAACTTTCTCCTTACATGACTTGGCCTAGGAAATGCTCAGAGGGATGGCCAAAAGGTGGGCACCAGGTGGGCTGAAGGGGGGAGGGCAGGATGGTGCCACCCAGGACACATTATAGCTCCCTGTAGGCAGGGGCAACTCCTATGACCTTAGCAGCAGGTTGGAGCAGGGGCAGGTTCTTGATAAGGGTGGAGGAAGGGCTGAAGGAATTAACATTTCAATCCCTCAGGGGACAGTCTCCACCTTCCTGGACTCACTCAAAATTGGCCTCCTTGATCCCACCTGACTTGACTTACCTGCCTAAACTGACTGCCTGTCTGATTCTGGCTTCACCGCTTCCAAATCATTATGTATAAGAAAGTTCACTTCAGTTGTTCACCTTTTCGATCCTCTCTGGGTTCTACTTCCCATTTTCCAACAGCCCACATGATTTTCAATTTTTAGTAATTCAGAAGAAGAAAAATAGAAAAAGCCTTTTGATTAGTGTGAAACATACAGAGAAAAGGTGTTTTTTTTTTTCAGAATACGCACCAGTTTCTCTAAGAAATATATGCACATATATTATATATTATACATATGTATATATTACATGTGTGTGTGTGTGTGTGTGTGTAAGTTAGGAGACAGAGAAGATGGTGGGAACACAAGACTAAGAGGATAATTCTACAAAATGGGCCCACTGTGCTCACCCCACCTGCTTTCTTTTTTGCCTAAAAGCAATCTTCYTGCAGCCCTGACTGGCCTAAGTGGACAGGTGATGTTACATTCCTCAGCAAAAGGAGGCAGGGGTGAAGGTCAGGTAGTCAGTGTAGGTAATGAAGGATGAGGTCCCAGGGGATGAGGACTGGTAGGCAAAGAAAGACAATGGATTGCTAACAACTATCCTCTGCACCACTGCTCTAGGAAATGTATGCAGGGAGGAAAGAGAAGACAGTAAGTAAAAAGGGGATTCTAGGGTCTATATGTTATGGGCCAGGCTAGGCAACGACCAAACAGATTCCATTTACCCTGAGACTCCATGTCATGTAAGAAATGCTTCTACCATGGGAAAGCCCCATCTCTGTACCCATTAATAGTTACCTAGAAATTCTTATACAATGTAAAATTGTTCTCTTTGCTTTCCATATTTCTTGGGCAATGAAGCCTTGTCAGAGATTAATTGTCCAGTCGATAGTAACCATTCTCTAACTTGTACTCAACTAGGGTCACTTTGACCCACTTCCTTTCTGCTTGCTTGCTGCTTTGCCAACCTGGAAAGTCCTGTGGGAAATACCAATGTACCCATTGCATTGTCTCGTTAACTGCCCAATTCTGTACTTGCTTGCTTACATTGGCTAAAAACTCAAATGTCCCTTTTGTGTGTTTTTTTTTTTTTTTGGTTTAAATATGAGGCCAACTGAAGGCAGGCGTGTCACTCTGACCATCTCGCTTATAGAGAGTAGAGTGTCCGCCGCTGGCCAGCAATAAAAGCTCTATTGGCATAAAACTGTGTGGTCTGGGAGTTATTCGAGGGTCTCCGTGTAATATTCGTTTTTGGTATAACATATAAAAAAGCTAGCTGCACATCTTCTCGCGGGCTCTTGGCTCTGAAGCCCTACTTTTCTTTGAAGAAGTCTATCTCTCTCACTTTCTTTCTTTTGAATTTTTTTTTTATTATTGGTTGTTCAAAACATTACAAAGCTCTTGACATATCATATTTCATACATTAGATTCAAGTGGGTTATGAACTCCCAATTTTACCCCAAATACAGATTGCAGAATCACATCGGTTACACATCCACATTTTTACATAATGCCATACTAGTGTCTGTTGTATTCTGCTACCTTTCCTATCCTCTACTATCCCCCCTCCCCTCCCCTCCCATCTTCTCTCTCTACCCCATCTACTGTAATTCATTCCTCTCCTTGTTTATTTTCCCATTCCCCTCGCAACCTCTTATATGTAATTTTGTATAACAATGAGGGTCTCCTTCCATTTCCATGCAATTTCCCTTTTCTCTCCCTTTCCCTCCCATCTCATGTCTCTGTTTAATGTTAATCTTTTCTTCCTGCTCTTCCTCCCTGCTCTGTTCTTATATCTCTCTCACTTTCTTAAATAAAACTTTTTCTCTACGCTTGTCTCGGCTTTGCTCTGTTGAATCTTCAACACTGGGGAAYATGAACCCGGTTCCTGACCTGCAACGGACTGATACACACACACACACAATTTATTATATGTACATATGTATCACATATATATGTACAGTGTGTGTGCGATTCTATATATATCACACACGCAAGTATTGGAATAAGTCTTCTGCCATCCTGTGACAGCCCAAGAGTTTAACTCTTTGACATTCCACTTGCCTTCCCTGGCTGTACGGAATGGGAGTTCTTTGATGGTGGCCTCCAGTATCATAATCCTACGGGCGCGGCCATGACAGTTTCTACAGAGCCGCTAACGACCCACCCACCCACGCTGTCGGCCCTGATGACCATTGGCAGACGTAGCTTCGGGGGTGCTAGTGGGCATGCGCCTAATCACAACTTGTGTAAGGCCATCCCGACGCGAAGGCTGGCAAACCGGAAGTTTCGAAGAACGCACTTCCGTTTAGACCGTAGAGGGCTGCACCAGTCGCGGGACGCCGAGGTGATTTGGTATATCTGCAGTGGGGATTCTTTGGAGTCGGTGAGGGGAAGTCGGCTTGGGGTCAGCGATGCGGGGGTTCTGAGCTGGGTGAAGACGAGGCCGTGGGCTGAGAGGGGCGGGCCGGCGTCGTGCGGCTGGGCGTGTCCGGCCAGGGACGGGGCTGAGTGACGGCCCTGCGGGGCAGAGTTAAGCTGCAGTTTTCGCTTTTCTCGCTGTTTTACACACACACACACACACACACACACACACACACACACACTCACACTCTTTTCGTAGCTTGATTTCCAGGAATACTCTGATGTCCTTGGAGGACGGAGCGCGTGCGTCGTCACAGCGCCTAGTGGTGGCACTGGAGGACAGTGCCGTCCTGCTGGGCCCCCATGTAGCCAGAGCTGGGTTGGAGGTCGAGGTGCCTCCTAGCCCACCCAGGGCGCCAGTAGAGTCGGGGGCCAAGGGTGCCCCCTGGGAGCCGGCTGGAGGATTGCAGATGGGCGTTTGCCAGGGCGACTGCGTTGCTTTCTGGGCAGCCCGCATTGGGGTCCTTTGGAGATGGATGGGTGGGTCAGGGCTGGTGTATCCGCCAGACCCTGTGGACATGGCAAGGTCAGTGATTGGTGGTTGGTAATCTTCCTCTTCTCACAGTTAAGGTGGCCCAGCTACAAGAGTCCTTCAAGTTCAGTCTCAACTCATAGCCTTTTTTTCCCTAATAACTACAGTTAGGCTGTTTTCTCTGTAGGGTCTACACAGTAACCTTCATGTTAGGGCCCTCCAGTTCTGTGGGGCAACCGTTGATGAGTGACCACACAGTCGTTGCCTTTCCAGGGTTTCCTGGTGTCTGTGGAGCCTCTGGGTTAGGCTGAGTCGTCCAGACTGCAGGAATTCTCTTTGCTGTCCACCTGTCTCTCCCCAGTGGCTCTGGTTGGAGCCTCTGGTGCCCACCCAGCTTCCAGCTTCTGAGGAAAGTGGAGCTGCTAGCAAGAGAAACCAAGAGTAGAAGTCCAGGGGGGATGCCAGCTGGTGTGCACTTACCCCAGAAGCCCCAGGTCCTGGGCCCAGAGGAGCAGCACAGATCTTGTGAGGTAAGCAGAGCTGCCCCGGAGCAGCTGTCTAGATCTGCGGCAGGAAACAGCGGATCCTGAACTCAGAGTGGACCACAGGGGGCTAATGCCCATGCCTCCTAATCTTAGTGACATGCTCACCTTGCCGCCTCGCAGGTTCTTGGGTTTGGACTAATGTCTCCCACACGCTCCAGTCCCCAGCATGCAAATGCATGCTTGCCATGCCCACAAGGTGGGATCACTTCTGGTCAGATCCRTCTTCCCTGCTTATGACTATCTAACCTGCTTCGACAGCTGTCTGTGTATAATGTGATGATTTTTGTTCTGCACAACATTTTGTTTTTAACCGGACTGAATGATTTTATGTATTGGCCAAATAATTTTATGTAAATATATCGACAGATTTTCCTCCAAGTGTGTGGATATCCTTCTCATAAATTGAGTTGATTATTAGCTAACATCAAGAGCAGCACATTTAGAGCTCCTGTGTCCCACTGTTCTCATCTTCACCATAGACCTGTGAGTAGCTGTCATTCCCATTTTATAGAAGAGRAGGCTGAGCCTCAGAATAAAACAGTTGGCTCAAGTTTATACGGTCAGCAAGCAGCCATTCTGGGAGTAAAGCCAACCAGAGTTCAGGAGAGTCAGTTTGTCAAKTCTATCTTCTTCTTCTTCTTTTTGGTACCAGGAATTGAACCCAGAAGTGCTTACCTACTGATTCACACCCCAGTCCTTTTTTTAACTTTTTGAGACAGGGTCTTGCCAAGTTGCTTTGGGACTCACTAAGCTGTTGAGGCTGGCTTTGAACTTGTGATCCTCCTGCCTCAGCTCCCAAGCCGCTGGGATTTTAGGCGTGCGCCGTGGTGCCCAGCCATTTTATCTTCTTGATGAAGCCTCTTCTGGCACTTTTCTGACTTATGCWTGGAGCCCTGTAGTTCTCTGAGCACTGGACACTCAGGCTTGTCATGGTGGCTCCCTTCACCCTCACCTGGGAATTCTCTTCTCTCTGATGCGTGTAGCTCCCTATGTCCTGAATCCTTTGGCTTTCTCTTTCAGATTATAGTTACTCTTTTTGTGGAGTGCATCCTATAGGAACTCCTTGGAAATATGTGCATGGCAGGTAAATCTTATGAGAATGCCAAAGGCCAAAAAACCCAATATTTATATATTAAGTGTATAGTAATTTATCAAAGTGTGTGTGTACTATATACTCACACACTTTGATAAATTACTATAAATTACTATATTATGATATAAATTATTATAAATTACTATATTATAAAATTTACTATATTATAAATTACTATAGGATGTGTACTATATACTCACATACTTTGTTAAATAACTGTAATATAAATTACTATATTATAATATAAATTACTATAAGGTGTGTACTATATACTTTGAGTATATGTACTCAAAGATGTCATAGAAATTATTTATTTTACCATTRTATTTATCTTTAACTGGGTTCACATTATAGATTGGAAATCATTTTTATTTTCCTAAAGCCTTCCATACTGTTGCCCTTCCTATATTTTTTCTCCCTTCATTTCCGTTCTCCTTTTTGAAAAAAAATAAAGACTGCACAATGGATGGCAGGATATTCATATAAATTTTTTAGTCTCCCAAGAGACAATATGAAATAGATATTTAGTGGGAAGGCTAATGATGTGTCATTGTGAAAAATCATCAGAAACACATCTTTATGTGTAACTTCTACATTACTAATGATGAATAATTTACAGTGAGCTGGGATATGTTGTTACAGAGATTGGTGTCCTTTGAGGATGTGACAATGGACTTCACCAGGGAGGAGTGGCAGCAACTAGACCCTGCCCAGAGACACCTGTACAAGGACGTGATGCTGGAGATCTATAGTCACCTCTTCTCAGTGGGTGAGCACCGCTGACTTGGGAATCTTGGATGGGCTTCTGGAGATTTTCTTTCTCCTCCTTGTAGAACACATATCAGAGTATGTCATGGTTTTTTCCTTGGTGATTTTTCATTCCTTTTGGGTACCTCCAAATACTACTTCATGCCCAGTGGAAAACGCTGACTTAGCTAATGAGTGATTGCAAAGTTTYATTGATGCCCTCTAAAACCAARGAGSCCCTGGRTGTAGTGACACACAYCTGTAATCCCAGCAGCTTGGGAGGCTGAGGCAGGAMGACTGCATGTTCAAGGCCAGCCTTGGCTACTTAGTGAGGCCCTGTCTCAAAAAATAAAAAGGAATGGGGATGTAGTTTGGTGGTATAGCACCCCTGGGTTCAGTTCCCAGTACTTCAAAAATAAAGAAATGATGTGCACCACATAATACCCAAGAAGCCACACACCAATCCTGTGTCCTCAAAGCGGGGTACCTCACTCCCAGCTCAGAGGTGATCTTCAGGGTACATGCAGGAAAGGATTCACAGCAGGGGGACACCCTCCTCAGAGGTGCGAAGGTGAGTGACTCTTTCCACGTGGAAATGAATATCTTTGGGGGGCATTCTCTGTCTTCCTCACTGTTTCTTTCCCCCAGTGGTGGACACTGGTACTTCCTTCTTCCTACAACTACAACTAATGCTTCAGTACATGACGTTAGAAATATAGAGCAGGAGACAGTGTGAGACTGTCTTACAGGCGAGTAAGGGAGTGGGCTTGTCTCATCATGGAGGTAGGTATACTTAACTCACTGAACCACCTTGCTCTTCTGATGGGCGGCACCAGTCCACACTCCCATGTGCAAACGCAAAAGGGYTGGTGTTGGAACAACTTGTCAGCCTTGACATTAACCAGACTGGCTTATATGTGGCTCCTGTGTTGGGTAACAGGGTTGTTTCATTGCTGTTTATTTCATTAGTAACTGAATAGAGCATCTCACCATCATCATCCTAGTTGGGGTTTTCATCTGTACATTCCTTTTCATCTTGTTTTCCTTTGKGTCCATGTAGTTTTCTACCTTTTAAAAATTTGCTGTTTATTTGTCCCTGAATTCATTGATTTTGTTTTCTGTGTTGGATCCCTCTGTCCTCCCTGCTCCCAGTTGTGCTGCCCCTAGTTTGGTGATCTTTATGTTCATCTGGTCATTGCTTCATGTAGGAATTGACTGAAAGAACCCATCCATTCTGCATCCCCACTCTCCATTTTTGTAATGCAACAGCTTCTACATGATACATCTAGTTCCTGTGCATAAGCTGTATTCTGCTGCCTGAGAGAATAGTTCTTACCTGGAGAATAGTTCTCTTGAGATGACTCACTTCCTTAATTTTGGAAGATCAGAAATTTGAATTATCCTCATCCAAACTAGAACTTCTTATAATCTGACAAATTTTGTCAGATTCTTCCATTTCTGGGCTCTTCTCTCAGTCTTCTAATTTATTACTCTGGAATTCTTATCTCTTTTTCTTGTTGACTACATAATTTACATGGCTCTTTTATCTTTGTTAATTTGTTTGGGTTTTTTGGTTTTGGTTCTGGGAATTGAACCCAAGGGCGATTTACCACTGAGCTACATCCCCAGGACCTCACGTAATGCTGAGGCTGGCCTTGGACTTGCAATCCCACGCTTCCGCCTCCCAGTGGCTGGGATTACAGGTGTGCATCACCACACCTGCTGTCTACATGGCTCTTTTTCTTAATCCTGGTGGTATCTGTATAAATAAGCTCCCTGTTTTCTCATTCTGCCCTTTCTTGAGTTCAGTCAAGATGTTTCTGACAGATTTTATCACATCAAACATTGCTGTTTTTTTTCCAATAGATTTTGATGCAAACATGTTGTTATTTCTTTCTCTATAGGATTAACAAACTCTTCATGACATTGTCATCATGGCCCATATTTCTAGTCTAAAAATACACCTGAATATTTCCATTATTCATGCCCTGATCGTTGTTTCCATACTTTCCTTAATGTCTGCCATGTAGATGACCTACTTTGCATACAGTCCGCTGAGTATTTTGTGTTCTCTCTACCTTTCATTACATCCATGCTAAGCCTGAGGACACCATTTAGGGTACAAGAATTGGTGAATTTCTGAAGACAAAAAAGAGTGTTTTGTTGTATTTTAGAAGAACATTTTAAACATCTGCTGAGGTAAATTGAAAAGGAGATGTAATGAGAGGACGATGGCGTGAGTTGTAGAAGCATCAGCCTGTTTAGGAGAAGGCTACTTGGAATAAAAGTATCCAAGTGGAGGGGTACAGAGTAACTGTTTTTTTTTTTTTTTTTTTTTAAAGTTCAGAGGAAAGAGAGGTGAAGTGACATTGGGAGCTAATTTTCAAGGCACACTATGAGTTACTGTTCCATGCAGCAATTTTGAAGAAGCAGAGGATGAAAGCTTAGTGGAGGTGGAGGATATGAGTATATGCTTAGATTTGGGAGTAAATTGGATTTCTTTTGTTTCAACATTGGTAAGATACATTAAAAAGTTATGGAAAAGCTTTTTTGCACAGTTCTGATGGTTTACCTTGGACGTTTTTGGTAGAAATTTAAATATTATCAGGTTTGGCAAGATTTGTATGATCTACATGAAGTGAAAAGTTAAAAATGTTTCAGATCTGTGCCTGGGGATGTAAGAGTGTAAGATCACCAAAATAAATGAAGCAAACATATGGGTAAAGTTGCTATCAGGAATGCAAGATGAAACAAAAAGAGGAAACTTGTTTTTAAAATGGACAAAGGCTATGAATAGGCATTTCTCCACAACCACGGAAGTCCTGCACTCTGAGCTCCCTCCTTCAGCCCTAGCTGTCACTCCTTACTCACTCTCTGAGGTTTGGGTATCTAGGTAGCCTACGTAAGGTCAGTCAGGTTGCCTTTGTCTAAATCCAGTGGTCCCACAGATAGCAAAGTGCTGTTGCCAGTTATGCAAGCATCTATACTTCCATTTCTTCATCATGTATCAGATGCTGCTTGGCACATGGTGAGTGCTGTTAGATCACAGTTTGGTGTGTACTTAGGGCTGAGTGAGTGTTCTACTCCCTGTCACCATCATCAGCATTATGTTTACATGACTCAGATTTCCTCATGTTCCGTTACAATCAACTCCATGTGATCCCTCCTCTATCCTGTTGTCATGCCTGTTTCATCTTCTGTTTCTCCTCCCAGAAGAATTTGGGCTTGATATCCTACAACAGGAAGTTTCTGAGAAAGCTTCATTTCAAAATGATACAGTGAGTGAAATCACAAGAGGTGGTTCGTGGTGTTCCATTTTAAAAGAATTGTGGCGGGATGCTGACCTTACAAAGAGAGATCAGCAAAATCAAATATACCTCCTGAGTCATGGGGCCTTCATCAGCAAGAAAACATTGAGCATCGAGAGCAACTGTGTACATAAGGACCCCGGGAATGTCATTCTTTTGAGGCTCCTCCTTGTTACTTCACAAAAGAGACCTCTGAAGTGGTGCTTGTTTGTAAAACGTTTGAAACCTAACCTAGAAGCAAATGTTCAAAATCAAAGCAGTGTCACAAAACAGCCTGAAGACATCGTTGGCTCTGGTCAGCTGCTCATTCATAGCTCTTCTAATGCCAGCTGCAAGACGGTTCCTACAGAAGAGAACTTATGCACAGGTAATCAGTGTGGAAAAGTTCTCAGCCGTAAACAACCACTTAGGCAACATCAGATTCATCTTCGGGGGAAACCAGGTGAGTGTACTGAGTGTGGGGAGGAATTCACCCAGAAGCCACACATCTTTACCCAGCAGAGAACTTGTAGTGTGGAAAAGCTTCATAAATGCAGCAAATTTGGGAATTCGTTTACCCCACATTCAGAACTCAGTGTACATGTGACAGGCCACACAGGCAGCTCACCCTGTATCTGTAAGGAATGTGGGAAGGTCTTCATTCAGAAATCAGAATTGGTTACCCACCAGAGGACTCACAGTAGAAAGAAGCCATATAAATGCCATGAATGTGGAAAAGCCTTTTCCCAGACGTTRTCTCTCTTCAGGCATCAGAGAACTCATAGTAGAGAAAAACTCTATGAATGCAGCGAATGTGGCAAAGGTTTCTCCCAGAACTCCACCCTCAGCRTACATCAGAAAATTCATACTGGCGAGAGGCAGTATGCATGCAGCGAGTGTGGGAAAGCCTTCACCCAGAAGTCGACACTCAACCTGCACCAGAGAATCCATTCAGGGCAGAAGTCCTTTATGTGTGTTGACTGCGGGCAGGCCTTCATCCAGAAGGCACACCTGACTGTGCATCAGAGAAGCCACACTGGAGAAAAGCCTTATCAGTGCTGTAACTGTGGGAAATCCTTCATTTCTAAGTCACAGCTTGATATACATCATCGAATTCACACTGGGGAGAAACCATATGAATGTAGTGACTGTGGAAAAACCTTCACCCAAAAGTCACACCTTAACATACACCAGAAAATTCATACTGGAGAAAGACACCATGTTTGCAGTGAATGTGGGAAGGCCTTCAACCAGAAGTCAATACTCAGCATGCACCAGAGAACTCACACAGGAGAGAAGCCTTACAAATGCAGCGACTGTGGGAAAGCTTTCGCATCCAAGTCCCAATTCAGAGAGCACCGGCRAATTCACACAGGGGAGAAACCCTATGTGTGCCCTGAATGTGGTAAGGCCTTCAACGGCAGGTCAAATTTCCACAAACATCAGATAACTCACACTAGAGAGAGACCTTTTGTCTGTCACAGATGTGGAAAGGCCTTCCTCCGTAAAACAGAGTTGACTACCCATCAAGGAACTCATATTGGAGAGAAGCCTTATGAATGCTGTGACTGTGGGAAATTGTTCAGTAAGAAACCACAGCTCAAGGTACATCAGCGAATTCACACAGGGRAGAGGCCTTATGTGTGTGCYGAATGTGGGAAAGCYTTCAACAACAGGTCAAATTTCAATAAACACCAGGCAACCCATACCAGAGACAGTGCTTACAGATGCAGTTACTCTGTGAAAGGCTTTACCAAGAAATCAATTCCTAATCCATCAGCATATCGCTAGCCAAAATGTACTCCCTGAGTTATGTGACTAAGCAGACATAGAGATCCAATTATACATTAATAGTATTAATGCTTTAGAAAAAAATTAGAAATGTGTGGTCTTGTTAAGGATTGTGAATTTTCTCTCAGGAAGAAATAAGATTAATAATGTTGAAAACAGACTTTCTATATAAAATGGTATGACACCTTGTTACCAGATTATTTGGTGGAAAAGTTTAAAAGCATTATTTCATTTAYTATTGCATTTATTGTGGGATATCAGTTTTTCTAAAGTGCCAGTAGCCAGGTGCAGTGGCACATTCCTATCATCCCAGCTACTCAGGAGGCTGAGGCAGAAGACCACAAATTTGAGACCAGCCTCAGAAACTTAGCAAGGCCCTAAACAACTTAGTGAGACTCTGTCTCAAAATAAAAGATAAAATGGGTTGGGGATGTAGCTCAGTGGTAAAAAGCTTCTCTGTAATCCCCAGGACCAAAAAAATAAACAAACAATAATAAATAAAAATAGAGTGCCAGCAAAGTGACTGATAGGACAAGGTATGTACATGGGTCAGTAATGTGTGCATGTATATTATATATGTATGTATACGTGTACRCTATATAGATCAGCCTACATATTTATGTTTATGTTTGTATATGTGTATGTGTATGTATTCCCKTAGTTCAGTGGGGTTTGCAGTAGAATTTACTGCAAAACAGGAGTAGATCATAATTATTTTTTTAAAAAGAGTCTAATTTGTGTTAATTGAATTTATTCCCTTTTGAAAATCTACATCATGGAATTGTACCATCAATGATTATTAATTTATTATATTGTTAGCAGGTAGCCGTGAACAGGTGGGTAGAGAGAAAGGACAATGAAGAACAGACGTTAGGCCTGTGCACCAAGAAAAATCCAGATGCCATAAAAGTGAAACTGCAGAGAACCCATCTAAACAGGCAAGAGCTGGGAAATGAGATCTGGAATGCCTAGCCTTCCCCAGGCTGCAAGAACTTAATCCCTTGGGAATTATTACTTAAAATCCTGGGGACCTAACTAAAACAGATAAGTATCAGAAAAGTGGGGTCTGGCACATCAAGACCCCCAGCTACAGCTAGTTACGACCCCTCAAGGGGCACTGTGCCAGCGTCATCAGTGAAACTGTCCAGCCACCCTGTCAACCAGGATATCCTTCCCTCACAAGGGATGTTGGGGGGGGGGGCTATCCAGAGGGCAGTAAACCAGCTTGGGGGAGACAGGGAAATCCAGAGGAGAACAGAGGACTTCATTCCCTTAAAAACTGCACACCGTCCCGTCTCGGAGGGGTCCTGCAGCCCCTGCTGAAGGCAGTCCTGTCACTCTATCAGTGGTTTCTCACTACTCTGTGTTTTGCTCACATTCTTGCTRCAGAGTCACAGAATTTGCACCCAAGGATGTGGGAGGCTGCCACGCCTTGTGGCCACCATTTTCCTGATTGGTGAGGCCCTGTCAGTCACTTTGTGTGATCTGGCCACATCAAAGTGGCTGTAGACAGTGCCCCTGATCTTGAGGGTCTTAAAAATGTCACCAAATGTGTCTTCACGCGAAGGCGCGCCTTCCTGCAGCCCCAGGGGTCGAGCTACGCTCACCTGTTCCTTTGTGGTATTACCCCTTGGCCTRTTTGGGATAGAATGTTCCATGGAAACGCCCTTTGTGTGTCCCCTTCTCTTGCTCTGCCCTTGGGTGTGGCCTTCCTAGAGGTCRGTCAACCTGCTGACAGTGGACATCACAAAGCTAGACTCAGCCCCCTGAAACCTGACCCCTTCCTCATTTGAATGGCTTCTCCTCAATAAAAGGGGTCAGCATGGCTCGTTCTCTCTTCCTGTGGACCCTTAAGGTCAGAGGAACCGTCACAGGAACCCCCCCAAAGAAAAAGGTATCTCTGTTTCTTGTGTGGTAATTTCGTGCTGCCCAGTTCCCCTGGGAGTGACCCTGAGTGTTTTTGTCGCCAGGAAYGTGACTCAAGGACTATGGTGGCTGCCTCAGCTCAACCCGGATATTATACTGCGTAGTGAGTTTCACATTATGACTTTTCTTTCATTATTAGCTTAGCTCTCTACTCCCTCTTCCTTCCGTCTCTACCATCTGTGGTGTATGTCTCCACAGATAACCAGAACCAGCCTTTTTCTCTGGATTTGCTGGCATTATTTATTAAGGCACCTAGTCGTATACACCAGGAGTCGTATACACCAGATTGTGGCCATTGGCCAAATCTGGCCTACCAACTAACCAACAGTTTTGCTTTTTTAAAAGTCTTATTGGAGYGTAGTGTGCTCATCTCTTATGTCCTGCCTAGGGCTGCTGAGTCCACTGGCAGAACTCAGCAGATGTGGCAGAGGCCCTGTAGCCCTATGCTGAACATGTTCCATTTCTGGCTCTTTACGGAAGATGTTTGCAGCAGACGGCACCCCACGTCACTAGGCTTGTAATCATACCCATATTATAGTTTCATTTATTTGTTTATTTTGGTATCAGGATTGAACCCAGGGGCACTCAACCACTGAGCCACATCCCCAGACCATTTTGAGACAGGGGCCCACTAAGTTGCTGAGGCCAGCTTTGAACTTGGAATCCTCCTGCCTTCCAAACCACTGCATCTGGAGAGTATTAAAATGGGCTGGGGATGTGGCTCAAGTGGTAGCRCACTCGCCTGGCACCCGTAAAACTAAAAAATTATATATTGTCCACCCAAAACAAATAAATATTTAAAACGAAACAAAAACTCTTGTATTCCCTTTTGAAGAGGGAAATAGCAAGTCTAGGTCTGTGCATGCACTAAGCAAGTTATTTATCTGAACAGGAGAATACAATTGTACCTTATTCCATGAGTGAGAAGCAAACTGTAAGTATATTAAGCCCTCGGAATTTCCTGGAGTGATCAAGTGCTTGGTGGATGATGATGGGACTGTGTCCCTGAGCCTGCCTGGATCCTTAGCTCCAGCAGGTATTCACTCCTCACATGGTCCTCTCTACCCCCGCGCCCCCCACACACACACACACACAAACACACCCTAGGACAGACTCCTCCGTCCTCTTCCAGAATGTTGCCCACACCTCTGACCTTACACCTCACTCCTGTAGGGCCCATGGTTCATAGCCCCTTTGTTCCTTTCTCTGTCCCTTTCCTCCCCAGGCCTCTCTGTCCATTCTGCTCATCTCCCTCTCAATCTCTGACTTCTATTATTCTCTATTGCCTCTTCATGACAATTCTTGGGACAAGCCTTTGACACTTAGTGCCTGTTGGATCAGAGACTGAAGAATCTGGAGGGTGGCTGGGTGATGGCTTTGGAGTTGCTGGGTCCCAGGGAGAAATACGAAGTTTCCTGTCATGTGAGCCATGTCCAAAGCTTTGTGAAAAGATCTGTGGGCTTCAAGAACTGAGAGATGAATAACTCTTCGTGCAAGGGTCTTAAAGTAAGATTGAGGAGTCCAGAGTTGAGTTTTCAAAAGAAGAAGCTACTATTATAAGCAGCTTGTGTTAATTAACTCATTCATTCTTCTTGGCCATTAGGAGGTAATGTACCCTGACAGATTCCATTTTATAGCTGAAGATACCTAGGCCTAGAGAACTTGATACAAATCTTACCAAGACCACAAATCTATTCATGAGAAAAGCTCAGACTTGACCCAGGCTGCCTGATGCCAGTATCTTGACTCACTATTAAACTATCCTTCTCTCCATGACCACCTCTAATATTGGGCAGTGATGGGCATGGTGAAATAGAGAATTTCATATTATGAAATAATTTCATATTATGTGATTTAACAAAAAAAAAAATACTGCCTTCCCCCAGCCCAAATTAGAACTTGATCCATCTTTTGATCATTCCAAGAATTAGCACAAGGCTTGGGCATAGCAGAGTTAGGCTTATGGGTTCTGGAGCCAGCCTGCCTGGGCACTGTATACCCCCACTCAGTGTCTCACCAACTTGGTGACAAGTGACTTAACCTCTTCATACCATTATTACCTCAAGTGCACAATGGATACTCCCATTAGTAGTCCTTAACTCATGGCTTCCTTTGTGAATTACTTGCATTAATTATGTGAAGCCAAGCATTAAAGTGGTGGCTGCCCACCATAAGTATTCCACAGATGTTTGTTCTTATAATTCACTAAGCATGGACTTTCATTAAATCTGAAATGCAGATATTTTCCGAAGTAGAATTCTGTTATTCAACCTGGAGTCCCAGTCAGAGCTTCCTCTATTTAACAAAAAATTCTGATCCCCATTTTCAGTGCATCCACTCCAAGGGAAGCCTTCTCTGTGTCATTAATGTCTGGTAGAGGTACCTGCTAGGCATGGTGGATAAAAGAGAGGAGGGATGGATGGGAATTAGGGAGGGCAGACAGGAGACACCAATAAAATGAATTCCTTTATTAAAAATYAGGTGGGGTGGGTGGGAAGGATGCCCAAACCCTGGCCTCAGAAGCTCTCTCTCAGCCTCCAGATACCTCTGTTTGGCACTGGGGCTTCTGGGTTTTGGAAGTTGATGTCCACAGTGAGGTTGGTATAGAGGGGATGCCGCTCCTTGGACAGCAGCCTGTAGCCCAGTGAGTTGATGCCATCGTGTCTCCACCTTTGGTGGATCCAGGCCCGAAGACCAAGTCTGAGGGAGGCAAGGGGCAGCCATGGGAGTCCCAGCTTCAGGGAACCCGAGGCCGACCACCACGCCTCCACCCTGACTCACCTCCAGACGCTCTGCTTCTGGCTGTGGTCCTGCCCCTCCTCTAGCATGTGGTAGCGGCCAAAGAGTAGGTGGGGCCGTGACAGGAGCATCCCACTTAGTTTTACCCTTTCGGGGACAGGAGGAAGGGCAGGGACRTCATACATTTGTCTCCTCTGACCATCCCCATGCCACGTCTCCCCAGTCTGGGARACCCAAGCCAGCCTCAGTCTAGGGRATCCTGTCCCCACACAGTGGGACCCTCAGGTCCTCACCTGGTAGCAATGTTGTCGTCCTCATCATCCCAGTTCCAGTACACATTGGAGAAGCCGTTTATCCTCAGGTAGTGGATGGGGCGCAGGGCAAATACCCCTCCAAGGTAGCCTTGGTAGGGCAGCCTTCAGAGGCAGAGAGTTGGAAGCACAGGAATTTCAGGTCACAGAGGCCCTGCTGGCAAGAGTCTCCAGGGTCCATTTCTGGGTGAGCCCTTCTTCATTCCTCCACAATAACATCCCCTGATCCCTGTGTTTGTCTCTGTTCATCTCCTTTTCAAGCCTGGGGTTAGCTTCCCTTTAAGTCTCAGAATCTCTTCATTCCCTGAGTCATCTGGCACCTCTTGTGACCTTCTTGATGATCTCTTTTCCTCAGACCCTTAAAATAACCTTCCTCACCCTTAGACAGACCTTCCTCATGTCCTCCTCTGATTCTGTAACAGCCCTCTCTGCCCATCACTATATTAAGCACATCTCCTGACCCCTCTTCAGTTATCACTCCACCCCAGTTTACATCCGTGTCTCAGAGGAAGGTTCTTCACTATCTGCAGAGTTTCCCCAGGCCCATCACCCCTCCCACCCTTAGTTTCAGGGAACAGGGCAGAGATCATCCACCACACTGTACCGACTGGCAGGGAGAGCTACAAGGAAGGACAGGGACAGCAGCCCTTCACAGTAGTAGCTCCCTTTGTCTACCTACTTGTAGTTGAACTTGTTGATAGCCACAGACACATGAGCAGGGAAGATGTCACAGGTRTAGATGTTGCGGTCATCCTCTGGGAGTAGGTTCACATCATGGAAGAAGACACAGTCCCAGTTCTCCTCCTGCATGGCCTCCCGGAACCCCACATTGCGTAGCTTGCCCCGGTTGAAGGCGGTGTTGTTTACCTGGGGTGGACACAGATGCTCGGTGCTGCCCTCCCAGTCAGGCAGTGGTCTGTTCCTCCACCTGCCACACTGGTCCTCTCCAGCCTTCTCAAGGGCTATTTCCTCGCCTGGAATACCTTCTCATTTCTACTATGGATCTGGAAACCCCATACTTGACCAGGAAGATGCCGTTCAAGTTACTCTCCTGGGAAGCTTTTCTTGTATCCCACCCCTACCCCAGTCACTTCAGCCTCAGCTTTCCTTCGGCCTTCTTCAAGGTTCCATAATTTTCAAGGGGCCACCTGAAGGAGGCAGAGGTGAGGGGTGATGAGGGATTGCGTCTTGGTTTCTGTTCTTGCCAAATGGAGACTGGGTCTGAGGCCCAGGAACCACCACAGGGTTCTGACTCTCCTCCACCATTTCCTTCGTCTTTATCACCTCCTTAATCATGACCATCTTCAGCACCATCACTGTCACTTTATCATGTTCACTGTTTCCACCATCAGTATTGTCACTGTCATGTCATCATCTTTAACACTATCAACACAATCACTCCTGTCAACACTACCAGCATCACATCTCCATCACCATCTTCCATACGGCCATTGACATGGCCACCATCAGCACTGTTGTTGGCAGCAGCAACAGCATCACAGTCATTGTCATCATCATCACCGCCATCATTGTTATCACTTGTGGAGTGCCTGCTGTGTGCTAGGCCTTGACCTAAGTGCTTTACATTCGTTAACCTGGTCAATCCCTCCCACAATCCAGTGACAGAAGTGTCATTATCATCCCTATCATGAAGGGGAAACTGGTTCATACACAGCTCTACTGAATACCAGTGTGTTGAATAAATTAATGATTCCCACACTCAGACCACACAGCTAGTAACAGACAAAACTGGGAGTCAAACTACTATCGCAACTGCCCCCAATCCCAGTGCTTTAATTTACCCCCTAGGTTACTGTCTAACCTGGCCAGCTCTGGTCTCAGAGAGCCCCAGGCTCAGCAGGACTGCATCTTTGACTCAGATAGCCAGCCATTCAAGCTGATCCCAGACTTGGCAAGTCCAGTCCCAACCCACAGTCCTGGCTCCAGATTCACCCAATTTGAGATCTTCTTGACCCAGATTCAGCCTCCTAGATACTCAGACATTCTCACCTCAGGGAGTGCCATCTTCAGCCCAACTCTCCAAGCCCATGCCCAGACCCTCTACCCTTTTGCCCATGTCCTTCCTCATCCCTGTCTCACCTGGTTCACTACATAAATGGCATAATGCAGTTGCTGGCGCTGCAGGAAGGGGTGCAGGTGGAAGAGAAGCTGCTTCAGGTGCTGGGCTTGCCCATAGTAGGGTACCACCACTGCCGTGTGGTGCCAAGTCCAGCAGTCTGGTGGTTTGTATTGACCTCCCAGCCTCACCAATGGGTTCTTTTCCACTGCCTTCTCCATTGTCAGGTTCTCTGGGAACATCACTTTCAAAGGACCATCTGAGAGATGCAGAAGCCCAGGATGTTTAGGGACCTATCCCAGCAGCCCCACAACCCAGTTGCTCCAGGTTGAATAGAGCTCCCCTTAATTCATGTCCATCTGTAACTTCAATGTGGCTTTACTGAAGAGYGTGTTTGCAGTTTTAATTTGTTAAGACACATTTGCATTGGATCAGTATGGGCCCTAAATCCAGTGACTGGTATTCATATAAGAAAGCCAGGTGAAGACCCAGAGAGAAGACAACCATGGTCAGATTATAGAGTGACATGCCACAAATCAAGGAGTGCCAAGGACTGACAGCAACCCTAAAGTAGGAGAGAGGCGTAGAATGGTTCCTCCCCAAGAGCTTCCCGAAGGAACCAACCCTTGCTAAAACCTCGATTTTAGAATTCTCCAGAATAGCTAGAGAATAAATTCCTCTCGTCACCCAGTTTGTGATACCTTGTTGAGGAGTCCTGGGAAACTACTGTGCCAGTACGGGGGCTGAGTCATGCATGTGGACTTAAGTAAKCTCATCGCCTGTTGCTTTTCCCCGTTGACCTATAGTTCTAAATCTGCTTCCTGAACTCCCAGATGTTTCCTTCCAGATGGTTCCCAGATTCCCCCAGTTCCTACTTTCTTGAGGACCCCAGACTCCCATTCCCTTCCTGTTCCAGACTTTTCCCGATGTCCACAACAGTCTCTCTCACCCATCACGCCTTCCTTACAATGTGAATTTGACATTCCTCCTCCTGAAGGGGTGGGTAGCCTCTGTCCTTGACACCTTGAAGGTAGATGGGCTTTAATCACTGTAGTATGGCAGAAGTGACACCATGTCACTTTTGAGGCTAGATCACAAGAAGCTATGTATCTTCCACCATGTTTGTGCAAATACATGCTCTTGAAGCTTACGGCTGCCATGTAAGAAGTAGTCATTCTGAGGCCACCATGCTTCCAGGAAGCCCAAACTAGCCCATATGATGAGTTGACACAGAGAGGCCCGGAGTTGAGCAGAATGGGCGTGAAGAGGGAGATACTCAGCCAGCTCCCAGGGCTCCAGCGCATAGCCGTTCAGCTGCAGTCCCATCTGGTCAACTGAATGGAAAACCTGTACCATAACCACCCAACTGAGCCCTTCCCCAAATTCCTGACCTACATAAACTTTGAGAAGTGATGGTTGCTCAAGGACGCTGCTTTGGGGTGATTTGTTGAGATACAGCTAGATAACCACAACAGTCACCCACAGCCACCAGATCCACTGCTTTCTGCCTCCAGCTCTGCCCGACTCCCAGGGATTGCCACTATCTCCCCATGGCCTGGGATGGGGCTGGGGGTCTGGAAGGCCCGCCAAACGCTTACTGATGTAGGGTGAGATGATGGGGCAGTTTGGCAGATCATCCTCACTGACATCCACAGGGTGGATCTGGCTGAGGTTGGAGTAGACATCCTGGTGAGAGGTTCCTGGAGGGGAGACCTGGACCAAAAGGAGCTGGAGCTCAGGAGGCACATTCAGAACCATGGGTCAACGAGGGGCAACCCTTCTCTCACCTCTGACCTGTCTTGTATCAGGAGGCGCAGAAAGGAGGTGAGGTCATGGAGGTGATGGCTTTGGTGGAAGGCCCCCATGAGCAGCAGCTGTACAGCCAGGAACGATAACAGGAGCCCCCTGTGCTGTTCCATCCTGGGAAGGAAACAGGTCATCATTCCTCCCACACTGCAAGCCTCCCACTTCTCCCTGTTCTCCAGGGGGCTCGGTCCTGGCCTCCTGCACACAGCCTTCCCTGACTGGTTTTGCAGACTCCATGGAAGAGAAGCCAGTGTGAGACTGGCCCAAGGCCACTCAGTGTCATGCTACCTGTGCAAAAAGATGGCTGTCTTGTGCATGTGTCCACTCTTCCAGTTCAGCCCCTCCAAACCCTCTGGTCATACTTGATGCCAACTGGGCTGCTCTCCCTGTGAGCACCTCAACATCTCTTAAGCCTCCATGTCCTTGTTTGTAGTGGGGCCTATGGCCGGGTTGGCCTTCTGGATTGTAGCACTCGGACACACAATGTGCATAGGTCAGTGTGACATGGGCTCAGCATTATTCCAGGACTGGGCCGAGTTCTCTCGAATGTCCAGTATCCTGCACAGAAAGGTGCTAGACAATCGCTCATACTGGACGCTCTCCCCTCCCACACCCCAACAAGAACCAAGTAGCCCCTCACGGTTTCCATGCCTGTGTTTCCCTCTGCTGCAATCTATCCTGGATCGGGACTGCACAGCCCCTCCCACCAGACGAGGAGCTTGCCAAGGGCAGGGTTCAGGATGGCCTCTTCTTGGAGACCCCACATTTTTGAGCAGGTAAAGCCCCAGGAAATGGGAGAATAAGTATGAGTGCTCTTCTCTGCCCTGTGAACTCTTGCTCTTCAGCCATGAGCCGTCATGAGTGCTSCTTGTCTGGGGAGTGTCCTCCAAGTCCTGCACCCTCCTGCACCCTGGGCTTTCATGGTCCCTGGCACTGCTGTGACATCTCTGGTCACCAGAACTAGAATGGTCTGTATCCAGATCTCTCTGCCTCACCACTGGAACCCTGTGAGGGCAGGCCTTCTGTATGGCTCATCTCTAGGTCCCCAGCCCCACCCAGCACAAGGCTCAAGCCTTCAGTTATTTATTCACTCACTGTATTTCCTAAGGACCCACTGTGTGCCAGGTTTTATCATAGAGACAAAGACCACAAACAACATTGTCAAAACTCTGCTTCCATGACACTGACATGGTGAAGCAGACGTGAAAAGCAGGTTTCAGATAAGGGCAGTGACGTAGAGTAAAGGAACAGTGTGTGGCTATTTCTGCTAGGAGGGTTGGAGAGGTGACATTTAATCTGAGACCTGGAAGATGACTAGGAGGCAGCCATGGGAAGCACTTCTGGCAAAGGCCCCAGAGTGAGAAGCGGGGAATGCTGGAAAGGGCAGTAGGCAGAGGCCAGAGTAGCAGCCAGGGTGGGTCACGCAGGTTCTTCCGGGTCAGGGTGAGGGAGCAGGGAAGGATGTGCTCTGACTCTCACACTGGCTCTGAGCAGTGGTTCTCCACCAGGGGAGCTTTTATCCCCTGGGGTGCATCTGGCAGTGTCTAAAGTCATTCTTTGTCCCAACTTGCAGGGGGAGAGTGCCATTGTYAGAAGCTAGGGGTGCTGCTAAATGCCCCGCAGTGCAGAAGATGGCCGCCTTTCTTCCRGCCTACCAAAGGACGTCAGGAGCGCCAGGGAGGGAAACAGTTCTGGAGGCAGAACTACAGCCCCACCAACGRAGGGTGCCTCTGCCGCCCCGCTTCCCTTGTCTTCTCCTTTCCACCTTCTCTCTCCCCCTCTTCCTGGAGTGTCAGTGTTGCTCCTTAAGGACCAGAGTGCAGAGTCCTGCTCTTCCAGAGACCCATGGAGGACGAGGACATTCACAGGCCCTGAGGGTCTCCCTCTAACTGTAGGATGAGCATGAATCCTGGGGCACTCTCCTGTGCTTCAGTTTCCTAGCTGATGCCTTCTTTGAACTGACAGTTGCAGAACAGAGGCGGTATTTCCTATGGAAACTCCATCTTTGATAATGACACCAGAGATCGGGACAGTCTCTCCTCTCCTGATTCACCCCAGGGGTTGGCCCCAAACTGGAAGCAAATGGGTGCCATGAATAGACTGCAGTGCTTCACACTGGTTCTCAGCCAGAATTGAAGATGCCTAAATGAGTTTGTCACAGGCACTGCACAGCTGCACCAGGCTGGTCCTCATCAGGACCTCGGCACACATCGTTTCCAGTGAAGGGGAAGAGTATCTCATTACAGAAGCAGCCTCAGGATCAAATCTTAAATGTGGGGCATGGGAAGGAAATCCTTGAATTTTGGAGCCCCAAGGAAACCAGAATCTAGCTGCACATTCTCTGCTGTGGACCAGGCATTAGGAAGAACTACCTGCTGGAATTTCTCCCAGCTTTTGAGCTGGAAGGTAGCTTACCTTTACTTCATAGAATACCAGCCAAGCTTCCAAGTGACATCCCTGCATTTAGCCACCCTTCCTTTAAGCAAAACAAGGAGACTCTGAACCTCACCACTGAGGTGGAAAATGTATTCCATTCACGCAGCCAACTGTCAAGAACATCTCAGGAACTTCAGCCAGATTTGGTGATGTGATCAGTCTTTGAAATACTCTGGTGGAATTGCTCAGCAGCAATTTGTAGACATTTGCTGTGCTAAAAAAGGTGGGGCTCACAATGATTCCCATTTCCCAGATGTGAATGATGCACGTTAGCCAATGCTTGACCCATGCCACAGTGCTGTGCAGCTGCTCCGCTCACAGGTGCCAACAAGGCCTTGGTGGTGGCCCTAGGTCCCTTTGTAGGCAGGTGCTGGTGAGCAAGAGGAAAGACTGGACTTAGATGGTGTATTTGGTCTTCTGGTGTCAGCATGACACCCTCCTGCACAAGTCACCAAACAGATCAAGGGTCATCCTCCCCCATGTGAGGACACCCAGAATCCCATCTTGAGACTTCTACCCTGGTACTGGGACAGAAAGTGCTGCTGCTGTGGACAGTGTGGCTGTCTCCTTCAGAGCCAAGTAAAGATGAGCCCTCCAGCTCCACAGGAAACACCTCTGAGACGGGTGTTATAAGTGTTTTCTTATTCCTCTTCTCTAATTCTTGTCACAATTATAGGGACTATGACTTAAGACACTGCCACTGTATTGGGGGAAACAATTCTGAACAATGATTGAAAATGAATTTGGTGAGTATATTCSTGTGACTTCCATTTTGCTATTGTGGAAAGGAACCAAGTATGATAAAAATTAATTGCATTTTAAAAACTTGATTGTTCTTGGGGCTGGGATTGTAGCCAGCGACAGAGAGCTTGTCTTGCATGTGTGAGGCACTGGGTTCGATCCTCAGCTCCACATTAAAAAAAAAAATCAATAAAATAAGGGTGTTTGTCCATCTACAACTTTAAAAAGTTACATAAGACTTCAAGAAAAATTTTGACGTCTTAATAGCAACTCTTATATGTTACATTCAAACTAATTTCTTAAACCTACATTTTCCAAGTGACATGGTACTGTTTCATTTGATAAAAAATTACATTCTCACTTGTGGAAAGCTCGCTCTGGCTGCCATGGTGAGCTGTCCATCACTTAGGAGACCACTGTGGCCTGGGAGACCCTCCAATGAGCTGGGCTGCCTGGTCCCCTTTTCTTCATCAGGTTCCTATATGAGCTCTTCAGAGTCAGACCAAAGGAGCCAGTGGTGAGAGGAGCAGAATGCTGGAAAGGCCAAGGCAGAGGGGCCTCTGTCTGGCCCAAGTAACACTGGGCCCCCTTATCTAGAAAGCACAGAGCAGAATCCCATCTTGAGACTGCTACCTGGTACTGGGACAGAAAGTGCTGCTGCTGTGGACAGTGTGGCTGTCTCCTTCAGAGCCAAGTAAAGATGAGCCCTCCAGCTCCACAGGAAACACCTCTGYGCCAGGGAGCAGAGCGAATGTGGGAAACCAACCATCCAGAGGCCTCTGTAATGGTTTGGATATGAAGCGTCCCCCAAAAGCTCCCGAGTTAATGAAATGATCAGACAGAGCTGTAACCTCCTCAGCCCGTCCTAGTTAGAAAGACTGTGGGGCGTGGCTGGCAGAGGAGGGCCCTAGGGCAGCCCTGGGAGGGTCACCTTCCCTCCGCTCTGCTTCCTGGGCTGAGAATGGGGCAGTGCTCCTCCACCTCACCCCTCTGCCACGATGCTCTTCCTCACTGAGCCCAGGACAGTGGCTCAACCTACCAGGGACTGAGCCTCTGGAGCCATGAGCCAAAAGACACTCTTTCTCCTCTGCTTTCTTGTTGTGTATTTTGGTCACAGCGAGGAAAAGCTGACTGACACTCTCTCTTTCCAAAGACATGTCTCATGAGAAATGTTTGTGTTAAAGGATGGAATTTAAGCCTGGCTGGATCTGTCAGGCCTGGAAATACATGTCAAAACCATAGGGTGCTTCTGCTCGAAGGTGATATTTGTCACTCTCTCAACTTCTTGACCTTCAAGAGCTAAGAACTGCCTTTCAGGACAGAGAACCCCGTTTACTTGACAAAGCAGATGGCAGACGTGGGGAACTGCCAGAGCCCAGGGTAGACTACGACTGCGGAGTCACCAGAGGCCAGCTGGACGCAGCCAGGCTGAGGAGCTGGACCTTCACCACGAGTGATGAGAGGTGGGGTGCACGCCCTCTCCAGCCCCCACACCAGCCTGGTCACGGTTAATGTGCTGCCACAGGTAAGACCCAAGATGTCTGAGAAGTATTCATGCAAAGCCTCTGCCCAAACTGTGCACGCTGATGAGCACGGCCACTCAGGATTCGATGGGCCTGTCCAGTGGACCTGCCTCAAGCCACGAATGGATCTCAAGACGGCTCATCAGACTGGCTGCAGTGGCACCCGCCTGCAAGCCCAGCGGCTCGGGGAGGCTGAGGCAGGAGGATCATGAGTTCAAAGCCAGTCTTAGCAACTAAGCAAGACCTTGTCTCAAAATAAAAAAAGTAAATTAAAAGAGAAAAAGGAAGAGGGCTGGGAACATGGCTCAGTGGTTAAGTACCCCTGGTTCAATCTCCGGTATCAAAAAAAAAAAATGCTTATCATTGTTACCTCAAAGGAAATGACAGAAAGAACCAACCCCTGCCCCTTTTAACAGCACTTACTATATGCCAAGCACTGATCTRAATGCATTATATATATTAACTCATTTAACCCTTCCACCAATATAACCACCCGATTTAACACATGAGGACACTGAGGCGCAGAAAGGGTAAGTCACACTCAGGTCAACAACTAAGCAAGTGGAGTGAGGAGTCTCACAGGCAGGCTGGCTTCAGTATGTGGTGTTGAGGTCCACTTATTTAATTAAATCAACTGGAGCAGAAAACTTAAACCAGCATGTTTAAACCCTTGAATGTTGTAGACTGTGGCTTTAGGGTAAAAACCCACAGGAGAGAATACTGCTCAGGTCAGGGTTTCTCTGGTACTCTTCACTTTTGGGGCCAAGTAACTACTGCGGAAGCTCCCCTGTACAGTGTTAGCAGCCTGTCTGCCACCCACTCACTCTCAGGCCTGCCCCTGGTCTCCCCTCCACATGACAACCACAAMTGTCCACAGAGGAGGCCAAATGTTCTGTGGGTTCCAAATCGCCCCTGCCCTCCCCAGCTGGGAGCCCACGACAGACTATGCTTAGGATGTCTGAGTTTTGGAACTTACTTCATAGCTTCTTCTAAAAGGACTTTAAAATCAGGCCTGGTCCAGAAAAGGCAGGCATTCCTGATTATGGGGAGTGAGATGAAAAAAACAAATGTTATTGTTTGGTAGAGCAATGTGACTAAATTTATCTTCACAAACACTTTAGGAGGCAGGTGCAATTCTTACCCTCATTTTCCTGTGAGTGGGAAGTGCAGCGCTTAGTCCAGGAGGAGCTAACCATTCACTAACCCATTCTGTCCGTCACCCCACATGGGCTTAATAAGAACTTAAGAACTAATGTAGTCTGCAATTAAATAAAACTTCAGTGTATAATTATATAGTAATAATTACAACAAATCGAACATTACTTAATTACATAAGCTCTACAATATGGTTTTAAACTTATTTTAATGCACCCGAGTCCATTTCATTGAGAGATTTGCAGGACTAAGGTCTGGGGCGTGGTGGGTTRCGTGCTGTCGTTCCCACCACGTCCTGGCTTGCAGCGCGGCTACCTCACATTTACCCTCCTACCTCCTGACCAAGCCCCATACACCCGTGTCCCACAGGACAGGGCGTGGGGCAATGACCCTCTCACCCCCAGACCAGAGTTCAACCCTCAGAAGTGACAGGCTCAGACACTGAGGGGTCCCTATCAGCCCCCACCGTCAATCTTCATCACGGGCCTCATGGGGGACAAGATCTCAGAATATTCAGAAGACGGGGCTAGGAAGGAGGTCGAGGGCTTGGGCCTGGGGAGCAGGGCTCCAGTGGACTCCAGGGAGCGTGCTTCGTCGTCTTTGGGTGCTGGTCTTAGAGGACTCACCTGCTTCAAGCCTGAGCCAAGCTGCCTACTCCACCTGCTGGGGTGGCCTGCGCGACCCACCGACGCCAGCGCGTAACTGTTCCTCGCGTCAACCGCTCCCGGTGAGCTCCGCGTGCAGACCCCGGGCCACCCGCCGGCCGGGGTACCGCGGCTGCCCCAGGCGMGTGCAGAAGCCCACTCCTCACCCCGGGCTCGCGGACAGCGCAGGCGCTACCTCTCCTTTCCACACCCCGCCCCACCCGCCACAAACGCTTTCACCCCCATAAGAGCGGAAAGTCTGAAAAATACCCGTTCTGCTTCGGCATAAACTGCGCTGCTGCGAGCAGAACTCGGGATCCACACAGCGAGTGCGCAGGCGCAGACGGAGACCCGGTGCGCTCCAGGAGAGGCGGGCGGAGCGCGCGGCGGTGCCGGGGCCSCCGGGAGTTGTAGGCGCAGCTCCTCCGCTGGGGGCGGAAGCACTCCGCCGGCGCCTGGAGTCCTTTCCTTGGCCTTGCAACCTGCAAGTGCCGGTTCAGCCCAGGTGAGCGCCTCMGTCGCACTGTCGTGCTGGAATTAAATGCCTCAGGGCTTCCATCCACGCATTCCCATAGGCTCCCCTGGAGAGAGTGGGCTCTTTGTGACCTCTCAGTGCCCTTGTCCCGGCGGGAAAGCCCTGGGCAGCTGTTGCACCTGCTGAACAGCTTTGGATTCTGCGGCCCTATATGAAGCCTCGCCCTCCAACCCTGGTGCAGCGCGAGCGCACCTTCCTCTGCCCTGGATAAACCSGGAGTGGTCAGATTAGGTCACGGGGTGCACGGGCAGCTGCGGAAGCCCAGAGGCGCCGCCCGACCCAGCGCAGGGCTCAGGAAAATTCACAAAGACCCGACCTTGTCCAAGCGAAACTCCATATTCTCCGCCCTAAACCCACCCCTGTCTCTGTTCAGGCCTATCTACCGTCTCTTCCACTAAATGCTCCGGCTTTCCTCCCACGTGTTTAAGACAGTACCTCCGACTCGTCTGGAGTTCTTTTCTCTCATCCACTTGCCTACCTCAACCAAGTCTCCGGAGTCCCATCGACTGGCTCTGTCTCCAGAGAGCCACAATCTACTTCTCCTCCTCTCTACTGCCTTAACTGTCCGAGGATCCCCTGGGTAACTGTAGGAGCCTCCTGACTGTTCTGCCTGCTCCTGTCCTTGCCATCCTCCCTCTCATCTCAGGAGCAGCCCACGGGCTTCTGTTAAAATATAAATCAAATCCTGCCAACTAGTAGCCTAAAATCATCCAAGGCTCCACCTCCTTCAAAATAAAATTCAAGCTCTTCACTTCGCATGCCTCCAAGATGCCATCCCTCTGTGGTCTTCAGCCACAACTCACTCCCCAGCCAACTGGACCTGGCCAGGCCCTGCTCTTTGTGACTTAGCATTTGCTGTTACCTTTGTAGTTAGCTTTTCTAATGCCTGGCTCCTTATCCTGCTCGCCTCAGCTCAAGGCCTTCTCTGATCGCTCCAGCCTGAGAAACTCCCTCCCCTGTTTCCTCAGTCACACCATCAAATAGTTTTCTCAGATTGCCTTTCATTTTCGGAAAGCACCCTGGCCATTTACTTGTGTATCCATGGCTTGGCTCTTCCTTAGAATTGGGGCCTAGAGAGCAGCAGCCTTTCCTACCTTGTGCACTGCTGGGTTCCCAGTGCCTAGGGCATGCTAGGAGGCACTCACTCACTCAGTGGACATTTGTAGATGAGTGGATAAAAGCTGAGACTGGAAGGTAAGGTCCAGTCACCGCAGCATCCTGCATTCAGTGGGTTCCGCCTGGCCAGAAGTGCAGGGGGTGGAGAAGCCCACCAGGMATTTATCTGGCTGAGGTTGGGGGGCCAGACCACAAAGGGACATAAAGGACCTCAAATATCCACTGGCTCAGGGTGGGGAGTCAAATCAGGGTTTCTATCAGGGTGGGACAGAGTCTGATGAGGACCTCAGGAAGTGGATTCCTGGACTAGGYTGACTGTAAAGTTAGAGTGGAAGGTGAGTCCTGTCCTGCGGGAAGCCATCCATGAAATGTGTGAGGACCTTTTCAGCATCATAGCCAATGAGAGAGTAGACCTGGCATTGGGAACTTCCTGTGGCAGGCCCACCAGGACAGACTGCCCAAAGCCAGTGAACTCCCCCCTCTGCTCTGCCAGAAGTTCCCGCGCAGCTCCGGAGATGGGCATCACCCCTAGGAACCGAGYGGCCTACCTGCCCCCACCTCTATCCTGTTTTGGTGAAGAAAGCCTTTGCTGTCTTCTGATATAAATAAATCAAACACAGGCTCCTTTCTTTGATAGAAGCTGGACCTGTGTGGTCAGCTTTGCCCATCACTTCCCACTCTCTGAAACTACTTTCTGTGCTCTGTGGTCATTTCTCCATACTATTTTTCTTAGCTTTTCTCAGCCAGCCCATGCCACCAAAGGGAAACCCACTCCCTCAGGCACGATGCTGTCCTGCAGAGATGCTAGGTGGAAGGTGGTGCTACTCTGGGGAGACAGGGAACTGATCCCTGAGAGTCACCTTCGGCTTTGGRAGCTGCACCTGGTCAGTTTGGGCACCAAGAAGATGTGAAAGAGCCAATGATCTTCATTCAGGCATTTGGAGGTCTAGGCTGGAAACATTAAGATTCAGAGTCACCCTTAAGGAGAATGAAAAGACGGGTGCTGGGGACAATCTGACAACTATAAAGGGGTCTCCCCAAGAGACTGAGTAGGGAGAGAAATCCAAGGGCAGCAGAGGGAAGACTTGATCAAGTGCTGGGGGAGAGAAGGTTTGACAGAATGCAGTGCTCAGCTGTGACAGATGTGCCTGATGGTTGTGACAGGTGAGTCCTGGGGGCTACTTGCTGGGCTCACTGGCAGGGAGGAGCAGGAGGAGTCAGTGGGAGCACCTGACGGCTGGTGTGTCCTGGTGTGCCTGACAGCAGAGGCCAGCATGGCTGAAAGGCAGAGCGAGGGGATGAGGTTCAGAGAAAAAAAGAGCCCTGTAGGCTCAGGGCCTCAGGCAGGGAACATTTACTAAAGCAGATGAGACTCCTGGGTGGATGGTAAGACACTGGGCGGGGYCCACTGGATGTTGACCTGTAAAGGAGGGGAGGCAGGAGGCCAGCGAGGGTCTTCTRCAACAGCCCAGCAGCAAGGGGGTCTGGCCTAGGGGGCTGGCTGTGGAGATGCTGAGAAGTGTTTGGCTTCTAGGTTTGTTGTGACAACTGAAGGAAAGGTCAAGGCTGACTGCAATTTGAAGCTACCCACAAGAAGAGTGACAAGAGTGGTCCTGGGCCCCAAGGCCTCTGGTCTGAGCAGCTGGAAGGGTGGAGAAGGAGAAGCATGTTAGGTTAAAGGAATCAGGAAGTTGGGGTTTTAGRTGCCTGGTAGATATCTGAGTGGCACTGGTCCCTGTCCTCCTGGTGTGACAGTAAGTATACAGTTAGGATATAATTCTGAACATCCTAAACCGTAGAAGCYGCCTGACTTGCTCTAAATGGTGAGGAGGCTCCTGTAGTAGTCCAAGCTGGGGACCAGGGTGCTATGGTGGTTTGAGGAGGGCCCTAATCTTGTTGCATTTCTATGGGTTCATCAGGCAGAGAGGTCAAGGAGGGTGTGACTGGAGGCCTGGGGTCTTGGCTGGGTGGGGATGGATGATGCAGGAAAGGGGAGGACAGAGAGGGTCCTAGGATGGGCTGATCCATGTCTCCCTGAGGCTACAGAAGCTTGTGCACTTAAAACAGGTGCATCCCCAGCTGGTCCCCACAGAGGTGCCATCCATGCTGCCCCCGTCTCTAGAGGAGACTTCCTTCCTTTCAGAGGAAGTGATCAGCACCCATTCCTGGAGGCGGTATCCCGTCCCCAGTAGTGAAATCCAATTGGTCTTTCAGGTTTATCCACCTTCCCTCCAACACAGCTGCAGGCCCCGACCTCCCTCTGTCCTTGTGAGTCCTGCACCTCCTCTCAGGCACTCTGAGCAGCCCTGGAGGGCCAGCCAGGTCGATGATCTCCACCGTGCCCCTCTGATCAGGGCTGTAACAGGGGAGGCTCTGCAACTGGTCCTGAAAGGCACCCCACTCCTCTAGAAGGGACACAACCTAATTCTGAATATACTTGTTTATTTCTCTCTGCCCTGGAAATCCCTAGGCCTCACCTCTTTGTGGTGCATGAGTGCAACCTGAGCAGCTTTTCAGGCGCGGTGTTCTCTTTAGCCAAATATAACCCTCCAGCCCCTGGCCGAGAAAGCTTCCTCTTGTGCACACCTGTGCCTGGTCCATTACAGGCAGGGGCGCTGTCCAGGCAGCCTCCCCACTTCTCCCTCTGATCCAAGGGAAGCCAACCCCACGATGCCCGCCCTTAGGTGAGCCTCCTCCGACCACAATGAGGACGCGCTGCTCTGCCTTGAGGCCCAGGTGCGCCCCCTGCTACTGTGTGGCGCCATGGTGATGTGGGTGCCTCCATTAGCAAGGACTCCGCCGGGCTGGGCACGTGACGCACACCGCACCGGGACCTCCTGCTGCGCCTCGTTGAGGTGGACGAGGGCATCCGCCACTACCCAGACGTGGTGCTGGCGGCCAGGCGGCGCGCTAGGAGCTGCTGCTCACCTTCGCCATCTATGGAGACCTGCTCTGGGGCTTGGACTAGGAACGCAGTAGCAGTAGCCGGTAGCACCACGGAGCTCCTGCTGCACCTTCGGCAAGATGGTGTGGCACGTCTCGTGGGAGCCACGCACATTGTGACGCGWGAGCGCGACATAACTGGAAGGGTGTGGTCAGGAGTTTTCGAGGAAGAAAAGGCGCCAAGAGGAAAAAGGAGACCCTGTGCATAACCTAAGAGGAGGAGCCCAGTAAAGCGATGGGATATGCGCATGCTCCAGTTTGGGGCTGGTTCCCACTGAAGGTTCTCGGAAGGCTGCGCGCCTCCCCGAGATGGAGTAGGMCAGGCTTTAAAACATCTGATCTTGCCCTCTTTCTTGGTCCACGCAAATAGAGGGGCAAAGGCTAGRGCTGGAGTTCTCTACTTAAAAAAGACATTTTGTCATTTTTAAAAAGGCTTTTGTTGTTTTGTGTGTGTGGGGGGGGTGTTTTTAAAAAAAAAAAAAACAAAACACTGCTTTGTGTGTGTTGTTTGTTGCTTTCTTTTTGTTTTTGCAGTACTGGGATCCAACCAGGAGCATTCTACCCCTGAGCTGCATCCCCAGCATGCCCACCCCCCACCTTTAAATTTTTTGACAGGGTCTGGCCTKAAGTTGCAGAGCCCTCAACACTTAAGAGCCTCCTGTCTCAAACTCCCACGTGCCTGGGATCACAGTGTTTGCCACGAGGAGGCGCCGCGGGGTCGCTACTTTATAGCGGCTCAGGTCTCTCTAGGGTCCGGGCCAGCCGGGCGGGGATGCCTGTAAACAGCACTGTGATTAAACTCCTGAGCTTGTGTCTGGCCCTCCGCGAGGGGCTCGCAGGGGACGGGGTCCAGGAACTCTGTGGGAACTGCGCCCCAGAGGCCTGGGGCCCAGCCACCTGCTTTCAG